ATTTTATTATATTTTATGACGTTATATCATTTTATCCCACCGTCACACATGAACAGTGCACATATGTGCATATTTGAATAAAGACTACATATTAACATTTTACTTCAAACTACGAAATCAGGAAAAATACTTCTCCATTGGCTACTCAAAGATGTCTTTTAAAGGGAGCGATGCTACACAATGTTGCAACATAAATTAAATGAAATGAGAGGGAGTCCCAGAAAATAATTTCAGAATTACCAGCTAATAGGCATTACAAATACTGTACATGCAGTATATTTATATAAAGATGGTTGGGATGCTGCAAGAGCTCTAATGAGAAGGAATGGGAGGGGAGGTGAGGGAGAATGGGGGAGCGCTCTGACTGGGGCATCTGCAGGCACCCCTGTCCCTGACTGGGGGAGGAACTGGATCCCAGCAAACCCCAGGCTTCTTGTTTTCCCCAGTTAATACACTAAAGCACCTGCTGAAAAACAACTGGCTAAACGTTAACTACCTGACGAAAGGGAGTTAGCCGCACATTAACCACCCAACAAAAGGTAGTTAGACAAATATTAAGTCACAGCCTAACACAGTCCAGGCAGGAAAATGGTGACGATCCATTTATGGTTCCAAAGACAAACAAACAAGAGTTTATTGAATTAAACAGAACACACTAAGTAAAGGCACAAATTAAAAGGGACCACAGGGGGTCAAAGACTAACAGGGAAAAATGAGAACCAACTAAAGAAACCATAAATTAATAACACCAGGGAGCAGCAAAAAAAAACAAACAGAACTCCTAACACACATGAAGGGTGAGAGACGAGAGAACAGAGTGGACATAGGAAGTAAAATACACACAGACAAGCAGGGCAAACAAGGGACAACTCAGTCAATTAAGCAATCAGAGGTATGGCGGCAACAAACGAGCTACAGGTGAAACAAATTCACACTAACATGCACAGAAATGAAGGAACTAAACAGACACAAATGAGGCAATAAAACCATCAACTGGGAATACAACACTAAGATAATAAACATGGAACAGGAATACAACACTAAGATAATAAACATGGAACAGGAATACAACACTAAGATAATAAACATGGAACAGGAATACAACACTAAGATAATAAA